GACTTTAATTCCTATAAATATTCATATGTCTTTTCTGAAGTCTTTCGAGTTGTATGTTATGTCTTTTTGAAGTGTATCTATGTTGCTGAAAAGATATTAGATACTCATATTCTCTGTCTCTCCTCCTCCTCCTTATAGGTTGGATGGGGTAGAAAGAAGATGTTTATATGGGAGATAATGAAACGTATTTCTTAAGAAAAGCTCAGTATATATATTTAGGAAAAGTTGGGTAAAGTATGAGCTAAGATGAGAGGACAGACTTCTTGGCTGATACTGGTTTATGCTATTTTATTCATGACATTTGCTGTATGTGTCAAAATAACACAAGAAGAAGACATACTGGAATTATTAGAGGAGACTGAATGAGGATTAAGGTCAAGTAGCATTTTTTCAGATACTCTAAAAATCTGATTTTGCTGTGTATTATTTTCTGTAAGCATTCTTCAGTTTATTTAGCTATGTAACTACTCCGTTGTGACTTTAGGGAATGTTAAGCATTTCAGCACTGGAACTGTGTAATCAAAGACAATGGGTCCTTTTAATATACAGATAGGCTCTTATTAAAGAACAGCCTGTATAGAGAACAGTGTATATACCAATATGTTAAATATACACAAAGGTACACTTTAAGTTTGTTAAAAATTATATTGGTAGAATTTTAATAGTGTCATAAGTATTATGGCAACTTGGTTTTGCTTTATTTTGGAATATCTCTGGAGGCCTTTGAGGTTGAAGCTGTTTTGATTTGACACCCTTCTGTTTTAAAACATAGGGACTGTCAGGGAGGCCCAAGGCTGTCATGTGGGTGGTGCTACATTTGTAGACAGGGACAACTTGGTGTATTTTAACCTAGAAAGAGTAGAAAGTTTGTTCTTGAACTTCTGGCTCAGTTTTAGATGAATCTTTGGAGTGCTGATATTTGGCTTATCTGAAGCTTTTGGATTATCATTTTCTAATTATGAAGGGATTGAAAGTGTTTATAACATTTTTGCAGGCGGAAGGTAAATTTATTTTGTTCCTTAGCAATTTTTTTTTGCTTAATTTAAAAAATATTGAGATATAATTCACATACCATACATTTCATCCTTTTGGTGTGTATAACTAGTGGTTTTTAGTCTCTTCACAAAGTTATGCAACTGTCACTACTGTCTAATTTCAGACAGTTTTCTCACTTCATAAAGAAATCCCATGCCCAATAGCAGTCACTATTAGTCCTTCTCCCCTCAGCTCCTGCCAACCATGAATCTACTTTCTGGTTCTATGGATTTGCCAATTCTGGACATTTCACATAATAAGTGGAATCATAGCATGTATGACCTTTCGTGTATGGCTTCTTTCACTTAGTGTAACGTTTTCAGGGTACTTCCATGCTGTAGTGTACTTCATGTCTTTTACGGCTGAATAATATTCCATTGTGTAGATGTACCACATTTTGTTTATCTGTTCATTAGCTGATGGATAATGGGTTGTTTCAGGTTTTTGGCTATTATGAACAATACTGCTACGAACATTTGTTTACAAGTTTTTGGGTGAACACCTGTTTTCACTTCTTTTATTTGAATACCTAGGAGGGGAATTTCTGGATCATGTGGTAACTCTGTTTAACTTTTGAGGAACTACCACACTGTTTTCCAGAGCAACTACATTATTTTACATTCTCACCGGCAATGTCTGAGAACTCCAGTTTCTTCACATCTTTGCCAACACTTGCCATTGCTGCTGTTTTCGATTATAGCCATTCTAGTGGCACCTCATTGTGGTTTGATTTGCATTTCCTTAATGACTAATGATATTGAGTATCATTAATATGCCCATTGACCATTTGTATATCTTCTTTGGAAAAATGTCTATTTAAATACTTTGCACGTTTTAAAATTGAGTTATATGCCTTTATATTTGTAAGTTGTGAAAGTTCTTTGTATATGTATGTATTCTGGATACTCGTTCTTTATCAGATACGTGATGTGTAAATTTTTTCCCCCATTTTGTAGGTGGTGGTTTCACATTTTTTTGAGATATATCCTTTAGAGCACAGAAGTTTTAATTTTGATGAGTTATTATTTATCTTTTTGTTGTTGTTACTTGTGCTTTTGGTGTCATATCTAAGAAAACTTTACCCAATTCAAGGTCACAACGATTTACATTATGTTTTTTCTAATTGTCTTATAGTTTTAGCTCTCATTTTACATTTAAGTTGGTTATCTTTTTTTTGCTTTTCAAGACAGAGTTTCGCTCCTGTTACCTAGCTGGAGTGCAATGGCATGATCTCCACACCCACCACCACACCGGCTAATTTTTTGAGAAACAGCGTTTCACCATGTTAGCCAGGCTGGTCTCAAACTCCTGACCTCAGATGATCCGCCTGCCTCGGCCTCCGAAAGTGCTGGAATTGTAGGCGTAAGCCACTGCACCTGGCCTGTTGGTTATCTATTTTTAGTTAATTTTTGTAGAAGGTATGAGACAGGGTTCCAACTTTATTCTTTTGCAGTTTTCTAGTCCCTGCACCATTTGTTTACTTAATCATATATTTTTCAGACGGAGTTTCTCTCTTGTTTTCTAGGCTGGAGTGTAGTGGCTTGATCTCTGCTTACTGCAACCCCCGCCTCCCAGGTTCAAGCAATTCTCCTGCCTCAGCCTCCTGAGTAGCTGAGATAGGCACCCGCCACCATGCCCAGCTAATTTTTTTTGTAGTTTTAGTAGAGACGGGTTTTGCTGTGTTGGGCAGGCTGGTCTCGAACTCCTGACCTCCGGTGATCTTGCCTCAGCCTCCCAAAGTGCTGGGATTACAGGTGCGAGGCACTGCGCCTGGCCAATCCTTTATAGTTTGTAGTGATGCTCACTCAGCAGTTTGTAACTAATCAGCATGTATTTATTGAATGATGAAGATCTTGGTGTAAGTTTTTGTCAACCCACCCCCACCCCCCACCCCCACTTTGTTTTTTCTCTTTAGGGTGTGGTGATTGTGAACTTCAAGCCTAGAATTTAGGATGAAACTAAAACTTACTTTTATTTATCTTATCCACTTGTTTTCATGCAAACTAAAACTTTTAAATGAAATCTTTCTCCTTCACTCCTTCCTTGAAAAGTGCTCTTAAGTATATCTCAGCATTCTTCAGGGGACCTTTGTCTTCAAGTATATACTATTTCCCATTTGAATGAATAAACTTAAAATTGTGCTGAATCAACTGTAGGGATTGGGGAGAAAATTTTCAGAGGTCTTGAGTTCCTTAGGTGCTGACGATGATGATCTTCCTATGAATCTGTCAAAAATGGACAAGATAATTTACTTCATGATACCTACTTGAATCAGGGCCTTTTAATTGCTTTTGTGGTGCCACAAACCTTGGGTTTGCAAGAGGGATTTAGTAGCACTCGACAAGGATGTCACTAAGCCACTGTCCTCAACAGTACTTTGTATACTTGAATATGGGTGATATGAAACGACCTGTTGGGTAAATTGAGAATTGTAGTTCTTGACTCACATGGATTTCTGTATGAGTCACTACTAATCATTATGGGCCAAGTGTTTGTACTGGAAATCTCTCTTAATTGATCTTAATTTTTTTTTTTTTTAAAAGATAAAAATTTAAAGATGGGGTTTCACTGTGTTGGTCAGGCTGGTCTTGAACTCCTGACCTCAGATGATCCGCCTGCCTTGGCCTCCAGAGTGCTTGGATTACAGTTGTGAGCCACCACACCCTGATCTTAATTTCGTAATGATAGTAAAATCTTTTCTCTTATTTGTCCAGAAACATAGGTAGTTTGAGAGGTTGTTAGTAACATCACAGAATCATACTAATTTGTTTTTTTTTCTTCTTTTAATAGTTCGGTAAGTTTTATTTTTATGTATATATATTTTATTTATATATGTATATTTTATATTTTTTATATATGTGTTTTAGGTTTTGGGGTACATGTGAAGAACATGCAAGATTATTGCATAGGTACACACATGGCAATGTGGTTTGCTGCCTTCCTCCCCATCACCTATACCTGGCATTTCTTCCCATGTTATCCCTTCCCAACTCCCCACGCCTTGCTGTCCCTCCCTTAGTTCCCCCTCCACAGACCCCGGTGTGTGTTGCTCCCCTCCCTGTGTCCATGTATTCTCACTGTTCAACACCCACCTGTGAGTGAGAACATGTGTTGTTTGATTTTCTGTTCTTGTGTTAGTTTGCTGAGAATGGTGGTTTCCAGGTTCATCTGCCTTGTGAAGGACATGAACTCATCCTTTTTTATGGCTCCATAGTAATCCATGATGTCCACATTTTCTTTATCCAGTCTGTCATTAATGGGCATTTGGGTTGATTCCAAGTCTTTGCTATTGTGAACAGTGCTGCAGTGAACATTTGTATGCATGTGTCCTTATAATAGAACAATTTATAATCCTTTGGATATATACCCAGTAATGGGATTGCTGAGTCAAATGGAATTTCTATTTCCAGGTCCTTGAGGAATCGCCACACTGTCTTCCACAATGGTTGAACTAATTTACACTCCCACCAACAGTGTAAAAGTGTTCCTACTTCTCCACATCCTCTCCAGCATCTGTTGTCTCCAGATTTTTTAATGATCGCCATTCTAACTGGCGTGAGATGGTATCTCAGTGTAGTTTTGATTTGCATTTCTCTAATGACCAGTGATGATGAGCATTTTTTCATATGTTTGTTGGCCTCATATATGTCTTCTTTGTAAAGTGTCTGTTCATATCCTTCACCCACTTTTGAATGGGCTTTTTTCTTATAAATCTGTTTTAGTTCTTTGTAGATTCTGAATATTAGCCGTTTGTCTAATGGGTAGATTGCAAAAATTTTTTCCCATTCTGTTGGTTGCCGATTCACTCTAATGATTGTTTCTTTTGCTGTGCAGAAGTTCTGGAGTTTAATTAGGTCCCATTTGTCTATTTTGGCTTTTGTTGCCAATGCTTTTGAAGTCCTTGCCTATGCCTATGTCCTGAATGGTTTTGCCTAGGTTTTCTTCTAGGGTTTCTTTTTTTTTTTGGAAAACTGACATTTGGTTTTATTGTGCCAAGGACGTTACAGATGGCGGATCTTGTCAACACCTGCAGGGCATGTGTGCCCCATCTGCCAAGGCTGCTCCCACACTTGCTACACTCAAATCCCGGGTGGCAGCCATGATCCCCAAAGATGCCCCCCCACCCCAAGATTCCATAGAGACTAGTGATGGTGGAAGCAAAAGGAATGCAGCAAGGTCAGGGTTTCATTGTCCAAGCTGGTCTGACACCTGCTGCCCTGCCCAGTGCACAACCTTGGCCCTGGGCCTGCCTCCATGCAGCTGGAGGCTAGAAGACAGCAACCCACATCTTTTCACCCCCCTCCATGCCCCATGACCTGCCTGGCCAGAAAGATGCCACCTTCACAGACCCAGTGCTGTCATCTATATCATTTTTGATTAGTTAATTTCATAAGATAAAAGTACATTTTCATAAAGAAAAAAATTTCAAGATCAAAGGCTCAGACATTCTTGGGGTACTGGAAAGGGAAATTTCCCACTTCTTCCTCCCACATCCCTGGCATCAGTGTGGAGGGGGGGCAGCAAGTTTTTCTCATCTTGGAAGGAATGAGGGGCAGGGAGATTTTCCCCTGTCTGAATGTCTCTCTCCTCTGGGGCTGCCTGGCTGCCAGTTGGTCTGTCTCTGTGTACCTCTTGTCTATCCTCGGCACCCTTGCCCGAGTCCCCTGTGGAATGCAGGGATGGTGCTATGCAGGGTGGGGGGCAACAGGGCACGTCAGCTGGCAGAGAGACAGTTGATAGTGGCAGCAGCAATGAGAGGGAGCACAGGGGTGGGCTAGCCAGAGGGAAGTGAAGAGGAGGGAAAAGAGGGGAGAGCAGAAGAACAGAAGGAGGCAAGAGGGAAGAAGCCAAAGAAGGTTGAGGCGGCACCAGAGGGCAGGAGTGCTAGGGTTGAGAGATGGTGTCCAATCCCTGGGTCTCCATCAACTCTTATCTGGGGGCGGGTCTCTGTGCACTTTGTTTTTCTTCATACTGTCTAGGTATTCCTGTTGGGACACTGCCAGCACCGATGCTAGGATGTCATCATCATCCCAGTCATTCAGACCTGCAGAGGCAGAGGGGGACATCTGCTGAATGAGGGCCTGGCACTCCAAAGCAGGGTAGAGGGACACAAGGGGGGAAGTTGCCCGGTCGGCCCCTGCCGAGAACTGACTGCTTGTACCTGGCGCACAGGGTGAAGGAGGTTTGGCAAGAGCTAAGACAGTGCCTGGGGAAGGGGGCTTGATGCCCAGCTCAGCATGCAGCTCAGGATGCTCAGGTGATGAGGCTGAACTCCGCTGCCGTGGGGACCGGCTAGTCCACTCCTCCAGGCCACTGGAGGCTGCTGCTGTGGCCGAACTGCATGTGGCACTGGCTTTCTGGGGCTGGCTGGGGCTGCGGACCTGGCGAGCCTGTTTCTCCTGATCCCACAACCATTGCAGGTAGGATTCCCGAGCCACCTGCTCCTCGATGGCCTCATTTGTGGCCTCCCAGTCTGTGGCCCGTTTCTTGTCTTCTAGCATCTGCTGTTCAATCCACGACTCCTCCGATGTTTTTATGGCATTCTTCATCAGAGACTGCTCTGCAAACCCTGGTTTGAATGATGGCAGGCCCGCCCCACACCAATGGTGGCCTTGCTAGGATTCACCACTGAATTATAGTGGATATTCCGATGGTAGCTGACATGGATAGGTTCATCCTCATTTTGATGTATCCCATGGAATGTGTTGATAGGGTCTGTGCTGTACTGGTACACTTCCACAGGACGGTTGTACATCTCTGCCATGGCCTGCATCTCAATGTGGTTGCCATGGCAATTGTTTTTCCACTTCCGGTTAATGTAGGTGGTAAAGTCCTCTGTGGTATAGTTGGAGAAGTAGTCGGCATTCTTCATCAAATAGTCCATGCAATGCTTTCGCACAACCTCATGCATGTCCTGGTCTCCATACACCTGGTCAGCTACAGCCGGGAAGCGACAGGCGTCATCCTCCTTCATCTGCTTGATGATGAAGCCCTTCTTGTCCCATAGGGCCTTTTCAAACCGGTGCTCCTGCTGCTCGACAGTGGCAGGCTCCATAGCCTCGATGCGTGCTGCAGCAGCCTCATACTCGTCCTCACTGTTGTAGCCTGCGCCGACCTCCTCACGCTCAGGACTACCCCCGCCAACTGGGCCCCTGCAAGGAGGTGGAGAAGCCTGTTGTGGCCGGGGGCCCGCCACTGCACTAGGCGGCACGGCCAGTGCCCAGCGGTGAAGAGCGCCTGGTGGTCCTGGTAGCGGGCCTTGAGGCGGTGGCGAAGCTCGAGGTCGGGCCCCCACCACGCCTGAGTCAGGGTCGCGATCGCCGCCGCCCACGCCCGTGCCGCCGCCGCCCACGCCCACACCCCTGCCGCGCTGCGGCGCCAGGGGCAGCTGCCCGGGCGGCGGCGGCTCGTTGGCAGGATCGGCGTCTGGAGGCGGCGGCGGCTTCTTTTTGGGGAGTATAGTCATGGCTACACCACCGAGTGCCCCCCCCCCTTCTAGGTTTTTTATGGTGTTAGATCTTATGCGTAAGTCTTTAATCCATCTGGACTTAATTTTAGTGTAAGGTGTCAGGAGGGGTCCAGTTTCTGCTTTCTGCACATGGCTAGCCAGTTTTCCCAATACCATTTATTAAACAGGGAATCCTTTCCCCATTGCTTGTTTTTGTGAGGTTTGTCAAAGATCAGATGGTTGTAGATGTGTGGTGTTGCCTCCGAAGCCTCTGTTCTGTTCCATTGGTCTATATCTCTGTTTTGGTACCAGTACCATGCTATATTGATTACTGTAGCTTTGTAGTGTAGTTTGAAGTCAGGTAGTGTGATGCCTCCAGCTTTGTTCTTTTTGCTTAGAATTGTTTTGGCTATGCAGGCTCTCTCTTGATTTCATATGAAGTTTAAGGTGGTTTTTTCCCAGTTCTTTGAAGAAGGTTATTGGTAGCTTGATGGGGATAGCATTGAATCTGTAAATTACTTTGGACAGTATGGCCATTTTCATGATACTGATTCTTCCTAACCATGAGCATGGAATGTTTTCCATCTGTGTCCTCTCTTACTTGGTTGAGCAATGGTTTGTAGTTCTCCTTGAAGAGGTCCTTTACTTTCCTTGTTAGTTTTATTCCTAGGTATTTTATTCTCTTTGTAGCAATTGTGAATGGCAGTTCATTCTTGATTTGGCTCTCTTTAAGTCTGCTATTAGTGTATAGGAATGCTTGTGATTTTTGCACATTGATTTTGTATCCTGAGACTTTGCTGAAGTTGCTTACCAGTTTCAGGAGATTTTTGGGCTGAGAATCATACTGATATATTTCATTATCTATGTTATCTCAGTAATCCTCCCAAGTTTGTTGTGGGTGGGACAGGTATCCTGTGTTTACTGATGAGGAAAACCAGCTAATTGCTTTAGGCACAGCTGCCTTTTCAGAGCTGGTATTTTTTTTTTGAGACATTGCCTATTGTTTGGAAAGCAGTGATCTGGTCCTTTGCTTTCCAAAACCAGAAACTATTTTTTTTAAATGAAGGTTTCCTGGGCTTTTGGGGGAGATGGTTCTGCTAACCAAACACAAAAGAGACCATTTGATTAGAAAAAACAGATAACAGGAAGATTAATTATTTTAATAATAAAGCAAGGAACCAATTTGTTAAAATTTTTTAGAATATGCTTTGTGACTGTAATGCTTGAATCTGTTATACATTTGTCTTAGTCCAGAAGTTCCCCTTTGTGACTTCAAGATACTTGAGAAACAATCAGTAATCAGTTAAAGGGTTGCTGGGTTATAGAAAAATCAGCACAGAGGAAATTTAGAGATCTTGAGTAAATATTTCACTTTAGTTATGAAAGAGGGTAATGAATGAAAGAGGATATTTTAAGAAGGGTTTCCGGATGAGCTTCAGTTCTTTAAGTAATAGCTTAAGATAATCCCAGCACTTTGGGAGGCAGAGGCAGGTGGATCACGAGGTCAAGAGATCGAGACCATCCTGGTGAAACCCCGTCTCTACTAAAAATACAAAAATTAGCTGGGCTTGGTGGTGCATGCCTGTAGTCCCAGCTACTTGGCAGGCTGAGGCAGGAGAATTGCTTGAACCCAGGAGGCGGAGGTTGCAGTGAGCCGAGATCGTGCCATTGCACTCCAGTCTGGGTAACAACAGCGAAACTCCATCTCAAAAAAAAAAAAAGTAATAGCTTAATGGAAAGAGAGACTATTTCTCTTGTATCTAATTTTCTCCTCCCCCATAACATTTTATCATGACAAATCAATAATTATCCATTTATCCACTACCTAGATTCTGTAATATTTTGCTTTATTGCTTTCTATCCATCTATTAATCTTATTTTTTGATTATTTTCCAAGTAAATTGTTGACTCAGCACATTTACCCCTCTGTACTTCAGTATGCGTATCATTGACTAGAATTTAACATTTGTTTTTACATTTTGAAGTACAATTTATATACAGTGAAAAACACATCTCTTAAGCTTAGTATTTAGTGAATTTTGACAAATGCACAAACCTATATGTATTAGTTTGGGCTGTTATAGCAGAATACTTGGGTAATATATAAACAGTAGAAATTTATTGCTCACAGTTCTGGAGGGTGAGGTCAAGGTGCTGGCAGATTCAGTGTTCGATGAGGACCCATTCCTTATGGGTGGCACCTTGTTGCTGTGTTCTTATGTGGCAGAAGGGACTAAGGTGTTCCCTTTATCCTCTTTTATAAGGGCACTAATTCTGTTGATGAGGGTGATGCCTTAATGACTAAGGCAGAAGCCCTACTTCTTTATACTGTCACATTTGGTGTTAGGTTTCAACAAATGAATTTTGGGGAGGGCACCAACATTCAGACCATAGTACTCTGTAACCCAAACTTTTATGAAGATATATACTATATATGCTACTCTTGCTCCACAGAGTTTCCTCATGTGTCTTCCTAGTCAGGCTGGTCCCTTCTGCTCAGTTTCTCATACCCTACTAGGAGCCATGGTCCTGATTTTTTCCCCATGATAGATTAGTTATGCATGTTTTGAAAGTCATATAAATGGAGTCATATGCTGTGTACATTACACTCTTTGACACAGGGTAGAGTTTTTCATATTTATCAGTATTGTGTGAATCAGTTTGTTCATTTCTATTGCCTATTTTAAATAGTATTATTTCATTGTATAGCTATTCAACCAGTTTCTCTATTTTCCTGTTTATATATACCCTAATTTGCTTTTTAAATAATAATAATATAAAAATTACCTGCAAACACCCTTACCTGACATCAAGAAAAGGACTAGAATAGATTGGACTTCTCTTAGATAACTTTATGTTCCATCCTTGCTTTTTTAGTTGCCTTAATTTGATTTTTAGATATAGTTTGGGAGCTACCCTGGCCCCATGAGCATCCCAATTTCAAATCATCTTATTCATTGTGTTGTGGTTTCTACTACAGGATGATCTTTTTTTTTTTGAGATAAAGTTTTGCTCTTGTTGCCTAGACTGGAGTGCAATGGCACGATATTGGCTCACTGAAACCTCTGCTTCCTGGGTTCAAGCGATTCTCCTCCTTCAGCCTCTCGAGTAGCTGGGATTACGGGCTTGCACTACCATGCCTGGCTAATTTTGTATTTTTAGTAGAGACGGGGTTTCTAACCATGTTGGCCAGGCTGGTCTTGAACTCCCAACTTCAGGTGATCCATCTACCTCAGCCTCCCAAAGTGCTGGGATTACAGGCATGAGCCACTGCATCTGGCCAGGATGATCTTTTAAATCTTAATTTCTTTCCGAGTGTGCTGGGTCATGCCTGTAATCCCAGCACTTTGGGAGGCTGAAATAGGTAGATCACTTGAAGTCAGTAGTTTGAGACCAGCCTGGCCAACATACCAAAACCCATCTCTACTAAACATACAAAATTATCCAGGTGTGGTGGCGCATGCCTATAATCCCAGGTGCTCAGGAGGCTGAGGCACGAGAATTGCTTGAACCCAGGAGGTGGAGGTTCCAGTGAGCCGAGGTCATGCCACTAAACTCCAGCCTGGGTGAGAGAGAGAAACTGTGTTTCAAAAAAAAAAATCTTAATTTCTGAAGCCCACCGTGCGTTGAATATTCAGGTGATTTTTAAAAGTATTTCTGTCCTTGCTTGTTACGTAGGAATCTCTGAAGTTGAAGTCAGATCTGAGAGCTAATAGGAGAGTTTTGTTTTGAGAACTATGTGGTACACATTATTCCTGTTCAGAGACCAGTGTTTGCTTAATGACCTGAGCCTGTGTTTGCAATTACTCAACATTTTCCTTGTTAAAAATATATTTTTTTTGAGACAGAGTTTCATTCTTGTTGCCCAGCCTGGAGTGCAATGGCGCGACCTCAGCTCACTGCAACCTCTGCCTCCCGGGTTCAAGTTATTCTCCTGCCTCAGCCTTCCAAGTACCTGGGATTATAGGTGCCCGCCACCCATCTGCTAATTTTTGTATTTTTTGTAGAAACGGAGTTTTGCCATGTTGGTGAGGCTGGTCTCAAACTCCTGACCTCAGGTGATCTGCCCGTCTTGGCCTCCCAAAGTGCTGGGATTACAGGCGTGAGCCACTGTGCCTGGCCCCTAAAAAACCTTTAATATACTCAACAATTATTGGTAAATGAGACCTCTTTTTCTTTTCTAGGTCAGATATTCTATATTCTTTTAACATTTCTAACACTCTTGATAGTTTTCTGTCATCTATGGATCCTTGTTGTTTCTAAAAAAAAAAAAAATTAATTTGAACATATTCCCAAAGTTAAGTACTAACAAATGCTGAATACAATGTAATTAATTCTTTTCTTCTTTTTGGGACAGAGTCTCACTTTGTTGCCTAGACTGGAGTGAAATGGTGTGATCTTGGCTCACTGTCACCTCCACCTCTTGGACTCAAGTGATCCTCCTACCACAGCCTCCTGAGTAGCTGGGGCCGAAAGACCACCATGCCTGTTTTTTTTTTTTTTTTTTCCTTTTTTATGAAGACAGGGTTTTGCCAGTTGCCCAGGCTGGTCTTGAACTCCTGGACTCCAGTGATCTGCCTGCCTCGATCTCCAAAAGTGTTGAGATTATAGGTGTCAGCCACTGCGTCTGGCTAAGATTTCTCCCTCCCTTCCCTTCCTTTCTTCCTTCCCTTTTTTTTCTTCCTTTTCTTCCTTCTCTTTCTCTTGCTCTGTCACCCAGGCTGGAATGCAGTGGCATGATCTCAGCTCACTACAACCTCCACCTCTCAGGTTCAAGCACTTCTTGTGCCTTAGCCTCCTGAGATTACAAGTGCCTGCCACCATGCCTGGCTAATTTTTGTATTTTTAGCAGAGATGGGGTTTTACCATGTTGGCCAGGCCGGTCTCGAACTCCTGACCTCAAGTGATCCACCTGCTTCGGCCTTCCAAAGTGCTGGGATTACAGGTGTGAGGCACCAGGCCCAGCCTCAAGATTATTTCTCAAACTGTGCATGTATTATTACACTAATTTAAAAAAA